AAATTTTGAGTAATTTTAATTTATTTAATTGTTCAAAATTGTCCAAAGTGTTCAAACTCACTGTCCACAACTGTCCTGTGACAATACTGCTTCTTAGTACAATTCAATACTGCTACCATAACAAGTGCTTTAAATCTAGTGGTTTTATCTGCGCTATTTAATGCTGGTTAGTACTATTCAGTACTGCTTAGCACTCTTGGCATTAGTGTCACATTTCTGCTTAATATCACATAACATTTAATTGCAGGGGTTAACAGTAGCCGCATCAGAGGTACCTAACTTTAATTAACTATAGATCTGCATTAAAAAGGAAACCTAAAAAAAAAACATGAATTTCACCATTTTCGTATCTACACGGATAATAAATCATGTTATGTTGCACCATGTTATAATTTGCTATTGGTTAATTTGGCGCACGCAAATGAACAGTAATTACATGTAACTGATATTAGCTAAATTACCAATAACAATGCTAGCAAATTACAAGAAATTGCATAGATTATTTAGATACAACAAAATCTCTTGCCAGATTAGATCCTAATACACCAACCCCCGCTCATGATATGGCAATAGTTGGTGTAATGAGAAATATACCTAAAAGTATAAGTATGGGTAGAATAATACCAAGTATTAACAGAAGAAAAGTATGTACATAATATATTTTTTTTATCAGATCCTTCTCTAATTGCTTGTACACTCGCCCAAAAAAGTTGGACCCCAAAAACAATTAAATTTAAAAACACGACAAAATGTTTAATCAAAGTATCGTAATTTAATATTACATCAAGGACGTTAAATGTTGCCGTGACAAGTATAACAAGGAGAGCGATTACTAGACTTGTAAAAAATTTCTATTTTTAGGGTGAAAAAATACGTCGAAAAAACCAAAATAATGTTAGTAAAATCTCATGAATAGAAATATATTATATGAACAAATGTACTCCTCTTTTCCGTTCTTCTTCTTTTCCTTCTTTTTTTTATTAAGAGCTTCTAAAAACGTCTTCTTTTTTGCATCATTTAATTGCATTTTTAATTCCTTGCCTTCGACGGTAATAACTAAACAGCGCTCATTATTAGTAAACATGATCAAATGCAAAGCTAATAATATAAATAATGATTAAAACTTTTGATTATATGGCCAATATCAATATATAGTGAGAAGCCTTTTATCCTTAATAAAAAATGTTCTCAAAAATTCTATAAACTACTGATACTGATAGGCCTATTCTAACCAACGAAAAAAAATGACGCGTAAATTCTGATCACGTGCTGTGAAATTTAAAATTTTTAAAACGAACCAGTACTAAAACCTACAGGTTCAAAAATAATAACACAGGTTATTAGTAAACTTGATCAAATTAAAAACTTAATACAGGGCAACCAATATTTGTTAAAACAAACCTTGATTTATTGACTCGGTACTAGAACCTACAATTCGAAAATAGTAATTGGTTGTCAGTATTTTGCTAAGACCTTGTACTACAGTAATAGTGACCAAATTGAAAAATTAATATACTGTATGCCTTACAACCTTGGGTTGTTGACATTGCGTGTATAGTAGAGTGTAGCAGAGTGTAGCAAAGTGTATCAGAATGTAGCAGAATCGATAGTGCAAATATATGAAAATTTGTGTAACACGATGATTTCATTCTGTCATGCTACGTAAGAAATAACTTATATGGGATATACCAAAGATCTTCTTCAAGAATATTTTTATGTTTTTTTTTATGTTTTTATCATCATTTGAAATTTGAAAATAACGGATAAAAGGTAAACAATTTTGTAAAGTAGTCTTTAATGTCAGAAAGTTTTCTTGAGACTATTCTTTAGGATTGAGCGGTAAATCCACATTTTTGAGCGATTCTCCATCTAATAACATGGAAGAGAAATGAAGTCCTCTGATTCAAAAGCCTTATCTGGATGCTTTGCTATATTATTGCTCTATTTTTATAATTCTTGAAGTTTCATTTTGGAAACTTTTATGATAAACGCGTGTAAAATTTCAGGCCTACCGAATAATTGATTGTGGGGGCAATTAATTGCAATATTTCGAACTCAATTAATTGATTGATGGCGCAG